ATATTTCCTCTCTCTGGCCGAAGCCTTCACTTAATATGGAACATAGTATTTCTTTAAAATTTTGAGTAATTTAATCCTTATATACTCTTAAACACCTTTACTAATACTTACTAACAAGATTTCCTAATCAATTGAGTTCAAAAATCCCATTCCTCCTTTTACTAGTGTTGGTTGAAATCCATTTACAAGGGAAGGTATAGAATTTCTTTAAATCTCCAACAATTAATACTTTACCTATCAATTTTTCATGTTAATAACCAGTAACAAACATTAATATCATCATTCAAACCATTCAATGCACTAAAACCCTAATATATATTACACTAATTCAAGCTCATTGCATGGAAAAATCACAATTCATCATGTTAAGCATAATCCTTGCTTTTAAATTTCAAGAAATTTAGAGTAAATCACATGAAAGAATACAAGTTTTTCTTTACCTCTTGCTCTTAGCTTCCAAGAACTTTCTCAAACACTAAAACTTCCTAATTCACTCAATTTAGGTTTTTTATCACTCAAAATCTCCTCTTAACACTTTAATTTATCCCTTCACAAGTGTTTTTAATGAGATTTTTCAAGAAAAAAATATATGAAATCTTCCTCTCTTCTTTCCTTTCTAATGGCCGGCCACCTTGGTTTTCAAAGGAAGCGAATGGCTTTTTACACCCCTCCCCATTTTCTCCTCCAAAATCAGTACAATGCCTCTTCTTAATTAATTTGAGTGTTTTTCATTTAACTGTATATTCTATTTCGGTTAATCTTTAAAATAACCGTACAATGCCAATGGAATTTATTTATTTATTTTATTTTTAAAATCGGGGGTTTACAATATACACTACTTCAAAAATATTATTATTTTAATAAAGTGAATCTAACTTATTATTAGAAGGGTTGATTGAAAACTTGCTCCTAATTTATCATCAAAATCTTAAACAATTATAATTTTTTACTTCAGTTGCTAAAAAGGTTTAATCTGCCTATTTTAATTATTTAATTATAATTTTTAACAAAATAAAATAATTTTTATTTATTATTTAGGAAGAATTTCTATATTTTGTGAATTATATATAATTAGTTTCTTAATTAAAAAAATTTAGAATATTTCTTACCTTTTTGGAAAATGTGTTTGCTCATTTTATGGCAATTTAATTTCAATTTCAAGTTCAATTCACGGGGCAGAAACCTTTTTTTTTTTTTAATTGAGAGTAAACTTATTTCTTTCTTCATAAATCATCAATTTGACATTTCTCCCCGCTTTCAATTTCCTAATGTTATCTCTAACAATTTGAAGAATTTTCATTTTTGTCTTTTACTTCAAAGCAACTAATAAAAAACTCACTTTTTCATATTTATTTATTTATTTATTTATTTTCTTATTTTTTATAATTCCTTATTTCAAATCTCCAGCTATTATAACATCTATAAAAAAACAATATAAACATAAAAAAATTGAATTAAAAAAACTAATTGAGGAGGGGAAACACTATTAACCTCCTCACAAAGTAATATTTATTAGAACAATTATTATTTTTTATTTTTTTGAGATTTTGATTTTTCTTAATTCTATTCATTAACATTAAATTTATTAGAAATTAAGTTTTATAATTTATTTTAATTTATTTTCTTTAAGATTATTGCAATTTTATAATCCGGATCACTAATTTTGATGGTTAACTTGATTGACTTGAGTATTTTTATCCTTTTTTGTAATTAAATTTTTTATTTTTATTTTTTCATTTACTATTTATATTGATTGAGAATTAGTCTTTATAATTTATTTTGATTTACTTTATATGAGGTTATCACAATTTCATAATCCGAGACAAGAGTTTGGTGGGTTAACCCAGGTTTTTTTGTTAATTGACTTTTTTTTCAATATCATATTTAAATGTTAGATTGATTAGGAATTGAGTTTCATAATTTATTTACTTTATTAGGTTATGATGGTTTCATAATCCAAGTTTAACTCGAGTTGACTTTAGTTTTTTTTTTCATTTTATAATTGATTTTTTTTTCAATTTTTTTTTAATATTGAGTTGATTGAGCAATAAATAATTTTTTTATAAGGTTATTATGGTCTCATGTTCCAAGTCATAAATTTTACGTGTTAACTTGGGTTGACTCGAGTCGACCTAATATGTTGTCGTTTCAATATTTTTTTTTTAAATATTTTATCTTGAATTTTATATTATTCAAACTATGTTTTTTTATTTTTTATTATTCAAGTTATTTTTAGACTTGCCAAATTAACAGGGTTATATCATATCAATACTTACATGATTTTTTTAGAACACATTAATAATATTTGAATATAAATATTTAGCATTTAAAAAAAAAACTAAAATGAATCATAACTTAATGTGGATAAATTATCTAATAGTGCATCTAAACGACAAAAAAGTTTACCAGATAAATAAAAGAAAAGAAATAGCTATTTCTTTGTCGCTTATCAAAACTAAAAATAATAATTCAACACATATTAATTGATAATTCAGGGGAAGGAGATCGTGAACCGATAGATTCCCATTCCATCCATGTATGAAAACAAACTAGGATTTAGTCATTCATACAACCAAACACCATCATATTTTTTTATTGACTTTTAGAGTGTATTTGATATTATAATAGCTTTTATAGTTATTATTTTAAAAATACTTTTAATTGAGGTTGATTTGATAAAATATATATTTCGTTAAAACTGTGATTGAAATTGAGGTTAAACAAAAAGCAGTTTAATGTGTTTGGTTAAAAATACTTTTCAATTTAAGGTTATAAAATAACAAAAAAAACATATATTAATATTGGTGATTAGTAATTGAAATATGTAAATTTAATTACTGCTATTACATCATGAAATAAACAATGCTTTATATAAAGTATTTTTTATTGTTTTATTAAACTATCTACAATTCTATCACATACGAAATTTATCGGTTGAGTGCTTCAGTTTTTATAGCTTTTTGAATATGCAATAACATCATATAAAATATCACAATAAAATTGAAACTTTTTAGAATTTATCCAAATGTATGAAAATAACACATATATATATTTTTATTTAAAAAAATTAATTTAAAATTTTTAAATTTTTTTTATTTTATCAGGTCAGACGTAATCCACTACATTTTAATTTAGATGGGATCTAATAATAATAAAAATATTTTTTATTATTTACGTGAACAATAAAAAAGCTTCCATATACGAGAAGAACAACACACTTGAAGGAGGCTACCCTGTAAGGTAGTTCTCTGAGAAGTTTTTTAATTTAAAGCCATATTTGTTTCCCAGAAAGTCATTTCCGGGAAACCACTTTTCAAATTTTCCCGTATTTGTTTGCCATTAGAAAAGTTGGTCAACGAAAAATACTTTTCAGTAAAAAAAAAAATTGACTTGATTTTCAAGACTGTATTTTCCTTTTTGGCTGTGTTTGTTTTTCGGAAATTGGTTTCTGGAAAATCACTTTCCAAACTTTCTTGTGTTTATTTGCTGTTAGGAAAGTTGGTCAACAGAAAACACTTTTTAGTTAAAGAAAAATTTGGCTTGATTTTCAGAAAAGTGTTTTTTTGAAAAATTTAGGTAGAAAACACTTTCCGGAAGTTGTGAAAAATTTAGAAATGTCATTATTTGCTGATTATATCAAATTTGATCCTCAAACTTTTGATTGCTATATATATATTGTTTTGAATATTTATTTTTCAATTTCATTTCTTAAAATTTAATTTTATATTAACTTTGGTCTTCATTTTTATAATTATCATTTGCTTTTCTCCTATTATTTTTTTATTGAAATTTTTTAACTATAAATTTGGTCCTCATTCTTTTGATTGTTACTTATTTTATTTGAAATACTTTATGAAATGTTAATTATTATTATTTTAATTTCTTCATTTTTTTTAGATTTGATATTTATTATTTTGAATATTGTTTATTTTATTTGAGATAATTTATGAAATTATATTTTTTTAATTTTATTCTCATTCAACTTTTTGATTTGTAAGATTTGTTCCTTATTATTTTAATAAACTTGAAAAAAATAAAACATTAATAAATTATTTTCTAGTTTATTTTCCATAACATAACAAAACACTGAAAAGTATTTTCCAATTTATTATTTATAATACTATCAAATATAAAAAAATAATTTACTTTTTAGAAATTTATTTTTTAAAAAATTTTTTTTTTAAATAATTTTTTTGTAAACAAACAAAAATAAAATGACGATGACCAACTAGTGCACTGCGGTGAATGAGAGAGGAGAATGGTGAAGTTGAGAGGAGGACACGCCCTCAAAAAGCAAATCCAAATTACATTTTAAAAAACTGAGTTCTAACCCAGTTTCGAGTGAAACCCACAATAATAAAATATATAGTTAATAAACACTTATCATCTGCGTTTTGTAGTAAACGCAGCCGCAGCCGCACTGCAATTACCGTGAGAAATGTCTCAACCAAAGCTCCAAACACGAAGGAAAACCAGTAGTCATGCTTTCTGTTCATAATGAAAGTTTGAGACAGAAATTCGTGGATCAGTTTAATTTTTACAAGCCCTAAGCATATGACAGCAGAAACTGCTGGTCAGATGCAAATTGCTTTCCAGAGGCAAGTGGAATCCAAAACAAAATTATTAGAAAGATGCTCCTTTTGCGATGGTTTATCATAACATAGCCCACTTGAATCCCTGCCAGGAGTCAATTTAATAGACAAAGGCATTTTGAGAATGATTGGTCCGGCAATTCTACATTTCAGTTTGAGCAACACATTAACGTTCCAAGCTAATCAATCATCTATAAGCCTGAGTGGTTCCATACTGCTTTCCAGAAAAGAAAATGAATCCTTAGAGGGAGGTGCTAAATCTTCAATCCTGTACTGTCTCAACTTCATGAGACAGAAATTTATGCAGTGGCTAGTACAGCACGGCATTTGTTGAACACATCTGTTGTTTTTCCTGCAGGAATGTTAGTCATGGATGCCTATTTCTAGCGTGAGCAAAAAGACTGCATATGGGAAAAAGAGCAGCTTTTAACAATTTTTATACATGACATGTAAAACCTAAACAAGCTGTTTCATTCAAATTTACAGTTTTGTAGTAAATCTTTTGCCGTGCCTTTTCCTATTCCTGTTGTCCCTGTAAGGGATAATCACACATTGCAAGCAAACTAGTCAGAAATGAAGCCTAACTAGTCCTAAAGTTATGATTCACAATCTTCAAGTCTCATTACATTCTTAAACACCCAAAACGACAACAAAAAAAACTTACAGAACTGTACAAAGGATTCAATCATTGCAGATGAGCATGAGATTGTATGGTAAATTTTTGTACCAAGAAGGATGAACAGCACTGTAATGATTTTAGTCTGTAGAACCTCCCCGCCAGTATCCCGAATTGCTAATTCCACATTCTGATAAAAACTTCTGATATTCATGTTCAAGTTTGTCGTATGCATGAGAGACTTCTTCAAATGAATTTTGATCTTGATCTGCAGAAGTACCCTGCACAAGATGGAAACCATCATAGCAAGCACAATCTCTTTTTTCCTTCTTTCCTTTTTGAGGCATTTAAATTAAGCTTCTATTGACAATTCGAAGAATAAGATCTATTTGATGAGGAATTTAGGACTTGTTAAATTCCATGTCGGTCCAATTAAGAAATTATCAAGCCATGTGAACCATTTATCAAGAGAATAATAATAAGATTGTAAAGATAAGAAAAGCTTATGCAAAGTAAATAAATCAAGAAAATAAAATATAAAAGAAATTAAATATCATATCAACAATCTTAGGTCGCAAATATTACACTGGGAAAAAAATAATATACACAATTACGAATTCTTCTGTATTCACTCCTGCAGTTTCCATTTCGCAATTGGTAATCAAACTTGTGCAGTATCTCATTTGATAGGATAAAAGTACATCATTATAAAGCAACAGAATGTTGGCAGCCTATGAGCAAGAGAAAAAGGACACAAGATGGCAACAACACAAGCAAATCAATGCAAACTCTGCAAAACTTAATGAGGGCAAAGCAGCTCCAATTAACAATCTTGATATAAGGCATCTAATTTGACAAGAAACATGCATCTTCAAAGAAAATGAAATCAAAGTCATGAATGATCTTTATATAATATATCACTACCAAAGTCCTAAATGCTCTCCCTCTCTCCCTCTCTCTCCAGTGCATTTGCAGCTGGGGAGAGAAGGGATGGTCATTGAATAACCAACCATGACCAGGATGTTAAGCTTTGTCATATCAAATACTCATGTCCAATAATCCTAAATTTTGCAGCATGACACGAGCTGCAACATGTAATAGAATTGAAAAGAAAAAAAAGAAAGAAACAAGTACAAAATCAAAGTAGAATATTAAGTAGGGTATCCATCAAACCTCAACCATAATAATTTGCATCATCATAACTCCATCAATAATGTGACATACTCTTGACTATAAAAGGAAGATGGCAAATGAAATTAAAACCAAAGCGATGAGCTTACAGTGGAATTTAGTATTGGTTCACCATCCAAATTATCTGGCTCCCTTATGTCACTGAGAGCATGTTTCCAACGCTTACTCTCGGGCACATCTTGATGCCTCCGTGATTCATTCGAAGCTTGGCATCCCAAGTTTCTACGAGCTCTAGTGTGAAAGGCACCAATTATGCATCTGATGCAAAATGCTAATGCAGGAACCAGAACTAGAAAATAACCAGTGGCTTTAGCCTGATAATAGAGTGGACAAGGCTGTTGAGGTCACTCTATTGATGAACTTATAAGAGAAAACAAGTTGGGATATGAAAATGAATGTCATACTATGAAAATCAATGAAGCAAAGTGTTTTAGTACTGAGCTTACATGTGGCAAATGGAGGGTGGTTACTGTGATGAAGGGCTTTTGGTTTAGAACCCCATCCATAATCTTCATGAAGTTTTGAAGCCTTTCCAGTTGATCAAAGCTAGGCGACTCACATTTCTTGACCTGATACTGATTGAGGCACAAACACTAAGTACCTTTAGAACCCAGAAAACAAATCAAAACTCCACAAAACACAGCTTGTGACTTCCAAGCAAGCAAGTCAACTTGGATTAAACTTTACTGTATAGTTACGGCTTCAATGGTGAATTCATTCCTTAACTATTTGTATCATATGTCAACAAAAAAGAGAACCTGTGTTACGATCTATCTGCAAGTCATTCATGTAAAAGTTAAAACTATAGTTTCCCTGTCTTTGAGCTCCCCTGGAGTCATAACTGAAGAAAAATGACTTGCAGATTGAACTTTTTAAATACATTCAGTACAGTTGTGTCGCATTGATTAGCCTCAACTCATAATGAACAATCAATAGATCATAAGCTAGTTAAAAGGAAAGTGGTTTTCTGAGTACATGGTATTTCATATATATTTCCGAGTGGCTTCTCATTAAGTTTAGAGTGACACCTATTTCACAAATGAATTAAATTGACAATCTCATTGCTAAAACAAAAACGTCAAAGCAAAATCTTGCTCTAGAATGCAGGAGGAATACAATGGTACCACCAACATTAAGGAAAAATAGGACATGAATTTGAATGATGCAAGAAGTGCATTCTAACATACATGTATTCACGATAAAAATATCATGTCTACAACAAGTTTAATTATTAGATATATATTGCTGAGCATGATTGCAAAAGAACCAGTTTCCTTCTGTCTGTCTAAACAGTAATTAATCCTTTGTAAATGATAATGCAACTCTGCTCACCACTTTAGTGTCTGCAGGGGCAGATGCAGGAATGTTAAGAAGCTGTCCTTCGAAAACAAGATCAACATCCAATATATTCTTATTAGCTGCAGCAACAGAATATATAGACACCCCATACTGCTTTGAAATTGAAGTTAATGTTTCACCCCTGCCATAAAATTTCTTCGAGTAAATGGGCCAGTATTGTAGAACCACAACAACCATCCAAGTTTTCAACACACATTTTCATAGTGAATGGCCAATCAGCAGTTAAAATTGTTCAAGAAACAAAAAATTGCCCTTAGCTTTGTATGTGTTATCCTAATCAAAGAAAAAAGTATTCAACTCAACTTCCAAGCAAATGAAAAGGAAAATCTCCATGCTTTTTGAAACCAGTTACAAACAAAATATATGAAGCATGCCATTCACATCTACTTAGCTAACTGTCATTCACATCTACTTAGCTAACTGTCAGCAATGTGCAGCAAATAGATAAATAAACAAATTACTATTTCAGTTATTACTCTTTAACCACATGAAGCAAGTAGGGATTGGTGGAGCTTTGACCCTTCGAAATATCCTGAATATGAAATCTCCATCTCTGAAACCACAAAAATAATTAATGGCTAACTACAAAAATAAGCAAAATGCGAGACTGAAACCAAGTATAAGCTTCTTCTCTTATTCTTCTTTCTTAAGTAGCAAGAACAGCAATTTGATAAAAAAAAAAAGACATGGACTTGCATAACTTTGAAACCCATCTCTTATATTCCAAAAAGATGCAAAGTTTATCAACATAACCAGAAGAAATATGTCATCACTTCTCTTTGTTTTGTACAAATTTCTTGGCAACCAAACAAAGCAAAATAACAGGGAGAGAAAGATTGTACCTCTGCAAGAACAGTAAAATGCTTCTTACTGCCAACCCACCATTTCAAACTGCAATTGAAACATACACACAACAACAACAACAAAAAAGAAAAGAAAAGAAAAGAAAAGGATCAAATCTTTAGCGAATAAAGAGAGAAAACAATTAAAGTGCATTAATGGTTCAGAAGAAAAAAAGAAGAAACCTTGGAGATGGGAAGGTAGTTTTAAGATTTGGAAAATGGAATCTGGGAAGAGAAAGATCAGAGAATCGTCTATGGCTTAGCTTCACTTCCATCACTCATAAGAAAGATCAGAGAATCGTCTATGGCTAAGCTTCACTTCCATCACTCATACTCTAGTCTAAACGAATAGATTCCTTTTCTGTTTCAATTGGATTTATTGGCGCTACAAGTTAAACCGGATGCATGAACAATCAGCCAATCACAATTCACGTAGTGTGAAACTAGATTTGACATGTTTGTTTTTATATTTTAAAATATATTTTTAAAAAATTTAATATTTTTAATATTTTAATATTTTTAAATTAATATTTTTTTAGTCCTTTTAGATTATTTTAATATACTTATATCAAAATTAATTTTTTAAAAATAAAATAAAAAATTATTTTAATATATTTTTGAGTAAATTTTTTTTAAAAAAACAATCATAATTATATTTTCAATAAAATTATAGACACACTACACATATCCCGCATTATAGTAAGCGTCGGTAATGCAAATGCATAAAAAGAGAGTAAATAAGGTTAATAAGTTGGATTTATTTTAATTAATAATATTAATCATATTTTTTTGTTTTTTTTTTAAATATCATGATATCTTGAAAAGAAAAAAATAGAATCAAAAAATTAAATAATAAAAGGATAAAAAACTCACCAAGTCAATGAACACTAGAAAACATAACAGGAGAAAAAATTAACCATACAAAAAAATTTAAAATAAAAAAATAGTAATTAAAATAATGAGAGCAAAAATAATAAAAATAAATTAGAGGAAAACTAATTTTTTTATTAGATAGTTAAATTGAAAAGAAAAAAATAAAATAATAAAGAAGAAATTCCAAAAAAAAAACATAAACTTGGTTTGAAATGTGAGATTAGAAACAAATAAATTATTTTCATAAAAGAGTTAAGGACAAAAAAAAAATCAAAGAATAAGGAGCAAATAAAAAAAATATATGAAAAATTAAAATTGAAGTAGTAAATCAAAAAGAAATAACACAAGGAAAAAAGATGAAAAAGAGAAATTAAAAGGAAAAAAAGGCACAAATTTTTGTTTGGAGGGTTGAATTGAAGATAAAAATAACTCCAGCAAAAGAGGGAAAAAGAAGTAGAGGACCAAATTAAAAATAACACAAAATAAACTTGGATTAAAGGTTAAAGTTGAGGAAGAAAAAACTTATATAAAAGGATCAAGTAAAAAAAAATCAAAAGAATAAAAATCAAATTGAAAAGTATAGCATATTATAAAGTGGAATTGGGTGACTAAATTGAAAGGAAACAAAACTCCTATTAAAAAGTCAAGGATAAAAAAAAAAGTCAAAAGAAGAAAGATCAAATCACAAATATAAAAAAACAAAGAAAATCAATCAGCAATAAAGGCGAATAGAGAAAAGAAGATTAAAAAAGAAAAGTTTGTTGACCACAAATCACCTACTCATTAATAACACACACCACACCAACTAAAAGAGAACGCAACGATATATCTAACTACTAACAGATGATCAGATTTATTTAGAGGGAAATGCTGCATGTACTATCCAAAATACACGAGTGCCTCCTATATGTTGGTGCGTATAATGCATACGCCATCAACATTTTAAAATCTAATATTATTTTATTCTAGTAAAATATGGTAATTCCTTTGATAAAACATAAAAATAACAACATAACCAATGTGAAAATACATAAAATATCACTTGATCTAAAGCTTTGATTGTTTTGACTTAAAAGACATTTTAGTAATCTAAATATAATCTAAAATAGAAAAAACCCGATATTACCCCTAGACTAAAGACATATAATTTTTTCTCTCCAATGACAATTTAGTATTTTCATTGTTCATATAAAACATAAAGACTATAATATCCTTTTAAGCAAAGCCATTTGTTATTTGAATGGGCGGCAAATTAATAATTTCATTCTTGTAATTCATAGAAAAATATTTCTAAAGCTACAATAAAAACACTATTAAAACCCTCCTTTTTTTAGTATATTTTTAAATGCTATCCATTTGACCCACTATTGCATGTGAGGTATTTTTGCCTTTTCTTTTAAAAAAAATTATATATGCAACTCTTTTTTGATATGTTATTGTACATAAAAAAATTATAAGTGTAAATAAAAAAACTCATACATATATGTAACCAAATAAATTCAAAACTATGTATGTTAATAAATGAAAAATACAAGTTATTAATGATGAATAACAAAAATAGAAAAATCAAGACACGCGCGCACGCGCAAACACACACACACATATATATATATATGACCTCATAACACATATTTGTTTTGACTGGCCGTGTTTAATGACTTTGTTTATTTAAATCATTTTTTTATTTAATTAAATAGAAAATAAACACATATGAAAGTGATTCTTACTAGTAGACGGGGCACAATGTTTTTTGACAAAAAGTCAAATGTGCTTCATTTGACCTTATTTAGATTCTTAAACTTAAGATCATGCATAATTTTTGAAGAAAAAGAAAAACACATTAAAGAATTCTTGGCCAAACTTCAATTTTATTGTTTGATGGGAATAATACATCAGACATAATATTTCTTTATAACATCAAAGTTTATAGGTCTAGGTATATCTTCTTTGTCCATATTGGTTAGAATTAAGGCTCCTCTCGAATATGTGGTCTCTTGTAGTTTAATGTCCACTTAGTTTGATTTTCTCTTGATGCTAGTGACTTTTCTGTTGTATACTTTTGCCATTTTGCTTCGGTATATCTATTTGTAGTAAATGGTTGTTAGTCTTTTTTTTTATTGATCATGTTTAACTACTTAAATCTTAACCTTGCCCACTCTAATTCATCCAGCTTTACATCTTTTAGAATTTGTAGAGTTGGAATCTCTATTTCTAAAGGTGTAACCGCCTCTATCTCATATACCAAAAAATACAGGGTTACATTTATAAAAGTTTTAATAGTGATTTGGTACAAATGAAGTTCGTACGAGAGCACTCACACAAATCTTTATAGGTGATCATCATTTTTTAAATAATTTTTTTGAGATTCTTATTAGCTGCTTCAACCACTCCATTCATTTTTGGTTTGTAAAAAGAGGAGTTGGGATGTTTAATCTTTCATTTGATGTAGAGTTCCACAATTAACTTTCCATTGAAATTTCGAGTGTTATTAGTTACCAATCTTGCTAGTAAACCATAACGATAGACCAAATCCTTCTCAATGAATCTCTTGACTACTTTTTGTATTATATGGGTACAAGAGTTGGCTTCTACTCTCTTGACTACCTTTTGTATTATATGGGTGCAAGAGTTAGCTTCTACCTATCTAGTGAAATAGTCAATGACTACCAAAATGAATTTGTGCACGTTGTTTGTTTTAGGATTTATTGGCCTTATGACATCTAAACTCCACTACTAAAAGGCCAAAGCAAGATCATATTGAATAGTGGTGCTAAAGGTGCACTAATCTTATCACTATACATTTTACACTTATAACATCTTTTAACATAGTCTATCTTCATGGTCAACCAGAAATACCCTAATCCTAGCATTTTCCTTGCCACTATATGTCCATTGGTGTGGGTGGCACAAATTCCCTCGTGGACCTCCTCCTTCAAGGCTTGCCCAATCTTTCATTTAAACACCTAAATAGAGTCTCGTCAAATGACCTCTTATATATGATTTTATCATCCAAGTAAAAGTTCATAGCCATTCTCCTCAAAGTCTTCTCATCTATCTTAGAAGCCCTTTAAAGGTATTCTTGGTGCTAGAGAAACCTTTTGGTATCACTGTACCATGGTTTCCCATCTAATGATTCTTTAATTATGCAGTAGTGAGCTTATAGGTTTCTAACTTTGATATCTATTGGTTAGATCCTACCCCTAGTAACAACTTGTGTCATTAAAGTTAGGGTTTCTAAGGCATCAAAAAATTAATTTTTATCTCTGTTCATGTGGGTGAATTTAATCTCTTTAAATTCATTGGCTAACTTGAAGATATAGTTTTGATATGGCTTTTGATTAGTACTTAAAAGAGTATTTTTATCAAGTTTTATATCATTATTTTGCACTTGAAGTATCAATAACTCCTTAATTAGAGCATATTTTATAATAAAATATCTAATAAATATAAGATACTTTTAATTTATGGTAAATGTTCATCTTCAATGCAGGCCTATCACATAAATAAAAAGATTGATTGATGAGTTTAACTACTAAAATTGAGAAGACAAAGAAAGGGCTAAGCTTAGAAAAGAGATGTTGGTTCAGTCCAAACTGGAATGCTGTTCGGTCATTAGGCCATATCTGGAGCCGTAGATCTTCGATTTTAGTTTGGTTATATGGTTAGAAAGTTAAGACATAGGCCTAAAACTTTCATATGGAGTTTAAGATTCAAAAAGTTCATTTTCAAGTTTAAATTATAGCAACAACGGAGAAGTCAAAATCTGTCCTGCAGCTTAGACGCTGTTCAATGTTTGATTGATACTTAAAAGTGTAATTTTATCAAGGTTTTATATCATCATTTTGCACTTGAAGTATCAATAACTCCTTAACTAAAGCATGTTTTATAATAATATATCTAATAATATAAGATACCTTTAATTTGTAGTAAATGTTCATTTTAAATACAGGCCTATCACATAAATGAAAGGATTGATTGATGAATTTCAGAATTGAAATTGGAAGGACAAAGAGATGACCAAACTTAGAAAAGAGATGCCGGTGTAGTCCAAACCGGAACACTATTTAGTAATTGGGTCATATCTGGAGTTGTAGATCTCCGATTTAGGTCTACTTTATATGTATGGAAAGGTAAGACATAGGTCTACAACTTTCATATGGAGCCCAAGATTTAAAAAGGTCAGTTTCAAGTCCAAATTATAGCAACAACAAAGAAGTCCGAATCTGTCTTCCAGCCCGAGTACTGTTTAGTATTTGGCCCATATCAGGAGTTCTAGAAGTCCAAATGAGCTGAATGTTTTACACAAGAAAGCTGAGACAATTTCCTACAACTTTGATGCTTTTAAGTGGCTCCAATTTTGACATTATCAATGATGGTTTAGGCAGACAAGAGAAGATAAGGATTGTTACCAAGTCAAGAGTTGGTCACCCACTCATCAATTAGTCA